GGCATGTCGAGCGACGATGAGATTGCCGATCAACAGCAGGAACTGAGTGTTGCTTCAATGGCGCAGATAGAATCCCAGTCGGCGGTGGCATTTGAGGACGTTACCGACGACTTCAGCAAGATCGAGCTAATACTTATGAAGTTTTATGCCTGGCGAAAGACTGACATGTCGTCATACCAGGACGCATTTGTTAGCCTGTGCCTTCCAAAACTCTTGGCTCCGCTGGTGCGCCACGAACTTGTTCTTTGGTCGCCACTGCTGGATGAGTACGCGGATATAGAAAATATGCGATGGTATCAGGCGTGCATGCTTTATGCCTCGCATGCAGATGAAACTGTGGAGCAGCTCAAGAGCGATCCAGATATCAATCTGGTGCCGGCGCTCATCGAGAAGATTATACTGCCCAAGGTGACTGGTGAGTCCTACACATTAAAAAAAAAGTTTGTGGGATAATTAATTGATTTTTTTTAGCTCTGGTCACGGAATGTTGGGATCCATTGTCTACCACACAGACTCTGAGATTGGTTGGGTTCATCAATCGATTGGGTCGGGAGTTTCCCTTGAGCGGTACAAATAAGCAGCTTAACAAACTGTTTGAATCCATCATGGAACGCATGCGGTTAGCCCTAGAAAACGATGTCTTTATACCCATTTTTCCAAAGCAGTAAGTGTATTATTCATTCAAAATATTGACCACTGTTTAAATTTTCCCTTTCGTTAACTTCAGAGTGCAAGAGGCAAAAACGTCGTTCTTTCAGAGACAGTTTTGCAGTGGTCTCAAGCTGTTTCGCAATTTCCTAAGCTGGCAGGGCATCCTGGCTGATAAGCTACTGCGCGAGCTGGCGATTGGAGCGCTCCTAAATCGTTACCTGTTGTTAGCTATGCGAGTCTGCACACCAAACGATGCCATAAACAAAGCTTACATCATTGTAAATACCCTGCCTACAGTGTGGTTGTTGCCCAACAGCGAGACCCTCAAAAACTTGGAACTTTTTATAGGATATATTAAGCAAACATTAGAGAGTTGTGATGCAAGCAATCCAATCTTTATGTAAGTAATGAAACTTAGTTTTGAAAAACAACAGCTATTAATCCTTTTTTTTTGCAGGCAATCCAGCGATAAAGCCAAGCAAATACTTCAAAGACTACATAGTTTATAAAGTGCAGGGACAAACATTGCAGTGACCGCTCACATCAATCCTAACAATCAAATACTCTTTGTAAAAATCATGAAATGCACAACTTATATCGGTCTTGTTAAAAAATCTTGTAACTCTAAGGCTCAAAACCATGTATATAAATAGCTCCGTAAGGGATTTATTAAATCCAAGTTTGAGCTCACCAAACTAAATTGAAAACAGCCCTTCCAACCTAATCAATTTTAAATCGTTTTTCCAAAAACAAAAACCATCGAAAGTGATAAATCTAGGAACTCTGTTTAAGGCGCATCGTTTTGTATCTTCATGCATAGCAGTAATAAAAACCATTTATAAACTTTGAAAATTTAACAATTGCAAAATCTATTGCAGACAATAACCAATTTACATAGACGCAATTCAATGCCATGGAAAAAAAGATCGGTATAGGAGGGTCATTAATCAGCCTTAGAAACCGATGCGCGTGAAAAGTTTTGGGCTAGCTCCACAACTTGAGCCTGCATTGCCTGCAGATGTTCGTTGGCCATTTTCGACTCGCTGCTATCAGGAGTTGCCTGCAGAACTTGTAGGACCAAATCTGAAATATACATGACAATTAGTATGATTCATGGATTCACTAGCAATTCATGGATGCAAAGGCTCACCGTGATACCGAAGCAACAAAGCGTTCTGTTCCTCGTTTAGTGAGCCGCGTATGTGCTGCAGGATGGCAGAAACGAATTTTCCGGACGCGTGCAAAATGCTACCAGAGATCGCGGTGAACAAGATCAGTGCAGCCAGGTGCAGCAGAAGAGCCGGATCTTGACACTCTAGTAGTTGCTTCTGCAGCTTCTTTTTGTGGTCTGCTATTAACAGGCGATCTTTTTTCTTGTCCACTTTCTTAATGATCATGCTGCAGGCCTTCAGCACCGTTTCCGTGGCCAGTTCAAATTCGTCAATGCTTTTATTCAGGGCTTTGTTTTGCTCGAGCAACGCGGCACGGTATTGAGCCTCACATTCCTGAGCCAACTTATTACGCTGGTCCACATTCAGGTTGGTATTTTTCACAGTCAGATTGCACTCGCCTGCCACGTATAGGGAAAGTTCGTTGCAAATGTCATTTCCCAATGACTTCAGCAAGTATTTAACCAACTGGGTTTGCGTGTCCTGCGGGAAAAGCTTCAAGCCCTTTTCATAGAGCCTTATGTCTATCAAAAGCGTATTGATGCGATCCTGGATAGCAGCGTGGGTCTGACGGCGATTTGTCTGCGGTGTAGCCTCGAACAACTCCTGAGCACGTGCCAAGGCCGTCTGATTAAATTGGCTATTATGAAATGGTTATCAAAAATTTAATTGGGATATACTTTGTTCATAAAACGTACTTGGTATAAAGAGCAGCGATGGGTTTCGACAAGTGCTCCAGTCCCTCTTCTTCTAGGCTTGCAGTAATCAGTTTGACAATGTCCGCCGTCTTGACCAGCTCCAATGGCTTCACTGCCTTTTTGTTTACGCCACCACCACCTCGTGAGCCTTGCTGAACATCGTCCTCATCGTCGCTGTCGTTATGAGCTGCCGCCTTTCCGCGTTGATGCTTCTTTGTGGACTTGGTCTTAGTCTCACGCCCTTGAGCTCCTCCTCCTGCTTTGCCAGAGGACGCCTTTTTTCTCCGCTCGTCGCGCTTGTCCACCTTGCCATCGTCCTCTAGCTCTTGGGTCGACGCGTTTCCCTTCTGCGCTAGAGTCTTCTCCACAATGTACTGCTGGTATACGCCGCCATCGATGGCCGCCTTTGCCTGAGACTCTGCCAACGCTTGACAGGGCTGCACCAATTGCGCGAGGTATGGTTGCGAGAACACTAAAAGTAGGATTAGTTGATTAACATATGTATATGAAATTTAACATAACATTAAACATATTAAACATATTGGACTCAAGTACGTACCGATGCTGTCAAGATACACGAAGTTGCTAGGATTGCTGTGCTTTTGTGCCATAATGGTGCTGAATACCTCCTCGATATCCTCCTCGGACAAATTGGATGGAAGTATGGTGGTCAGATCCAGATACTGTTTGGTCGCACTGCATTCATTTAGCGCCGTGACCACCGTGAGCTCCACAAGTCGAGCGCCAAGGGCCACACGCTTGAGAAAGAGAAACTCTTCGTTAGGGAACTGCTTGCGAATGTAGGACTTGGCATCCGAAATTCCCAGCTTTTGGATGGCGTCGTACTCAAGGAAGCTGTTCTGCTTGTAGAACGAGTTCACCCAGTCGGCCTGCGTCTTGGCATAGATGTGCGGCACGTATTGCGAGTTGGCCAGCTTGGAGGTCACCTGGCCGGCTGGCGCAATTTCGTCCAGCAGCGAGTGGAAGATCTTCTCCTGCACACCGATCTGCTGCAGGATCACAGCCACGTTTATGGGTCTAGTAATGGCAGCTAGGGCTCCCCGAATCTTTGCTTTGCAACGTTGGATGTAGGCCTGAGTAAAGAACACCCGCGGATTTGCGGCATCCTGGCGACCCTTAATGATCTTACCCAGATGCTTTTCGACCACGTCGTGTTGCAGAAAGTCTGACGGCAGATCGAACTGCGAAGCCAATTCCGAAATCGAAATCTCTCCTCGCAGAACCAGCTTCTCATTGATCTCCTGGGCAATATGACTGATGTAGTCCTCGTCGATAAGCTGTCCCAGTACCAGGTGTACGCTTGGATTCTCCGCAGCTATTCGCTCGGCTAGGACCTCGATTCGTGACAAATCCACATTTAGGGTTTTGCTGACCTCCACCAAGTTGGCACGACCTCCATTCACATACAACTCGTCCTGGATTTCGCGCTCCAGGTGATCCGGCGTGATGTACTCCTTGCCATCGTTGGTGAAAACTACCTCCAGCATCTGCTTCTCCAGCAGCAGCGTGACAATTTCCACGCAGTTTCGCTCCGAGAGCCTTCAAAATTATAAGGTAACAAGATAAAGCAGTAAAATAGGAAAGCTTAGCTTACTTCTGCAGCGTGGACGTGAGCTGCGCCTTTTGAAAGTCGGCTGCCAAGCGCTTGATCTCGTCCCAGTCACTACCCATATTGTTATGATTCGCTGAGATAGTAGAGATAAAGATATTAGACTGTGCTCAGATGCAATCTGAAAAACCTAAAATGAAACGTCAACAAAAGTCAAGTGTGACCATGCCGCTAAAAAGTGGCTTTACCGGTTTGAGTCATGGCAAGGGTTGAACACTGGGCTAATGTCTTGAGTCTGTCATCCAAGAAGAAACAGGAGAGAAGGCCATGTTCGATCTCATCGTCTATCCCGTGACTCAGCTACAGGGAGTTACTATTTTATTTTAATAAAAATAAAAGAAATCAAAAAATTGTTGTAAAATTGTGGTGTAGAAACCAGTTCTTCCTCTTCCCCTTTTGGGTTTCAATCAGTAAGTGGAAAACTTCTGATCATCAATGTATTTTTGTAAGTACAGTGCCTAGTTAAATACATTAATTTATTCAAAAGTTACAATTCGTTCTTATAGATGGCGCGTAAGTCAATCTCAATATTAACAGAGCCCTAGGATACTGTAAAACGGAATGTGACCAGACTTGCAAGCTTTCCCTACGAGCGTAACGCAGATGCTCGGTATAATCGCAATAGTCTGCTCCGGTCACTCAGCACCATTTTTGAAATCAACGTTCGTTGGCAAGTGCGCGTCGTTTTTCGCATCTCTTATTCGTAAATTTATAGCCTGACTGCTTCGAGCAAAGCCGTGTTCCGGAGTCTTTCCAAGGTAAGCGTGACTTAGATGCCAAAAGCCTAGGCCCACAGATAGTAAGCCAACAGCGTCTCCGCGGCATAAATCAATAATTTTCTCAGACCAGTACTTTTCACTTGTGTCATGGAATTTTATTCACCGAGCGCAAGCGCTGTCTGTGTGTGCGTGTGTGTGTGTGTATGTGCAGCTGCTTTACAATTTTATTTAGCACAGCTGCCATATGCATTATAAATAACACATCCTCTGTGAAGTAAAAAAAAGATTCCCGGTTTCTGCTTCGGTGATTTGGGCTCTGGTCCCCGGTGGGGGCTCTCCGGTTGCCTCTCCTTTTTGGCGGCCATATTGGTCGGGTTTTGTGTGTTTCGCTTTAGTCGGGCGATTATTGCATGCACCTAGGCACGGAAAACTAGCCGAAAGCAGTTTAAACCGAATCTCATTAGCCTGCTCTTGGAGTGGTTTTTGTTTACCTCGTTTTCTGGTCGGCCAGTTTCCGTGTGCATCGCCGTTTTAGTCTAATCGATGATACATTTTAAGTAGGTCTGCCGAAACTGGATTTGCGTCTAATGTGTTTTGGCCATACATATGTATACACTTGGTCAACAAGTCGGCGAAGGCAGCAAGCCCTCAATTTCAAGTTTTATCCAGATTGCTCATTACTCATAATTTCAGCACTACTACCAGCACAAAGCACAGTTAATGTGATTTTCGTATGCATGCAGATGTGTGTGTGAGAGCCGGCAATCGCCCTAGGGAAGCAAAAACAACAAGTACAGTGGAAAGGGAACACGGCAATCAGTCGCTGTTATTGCCTTTCTGCACAGAGAGAAAATACTAATGCGGTTTTTTTTTGCCAACGAATTAAATTTTTTCTACTACAGGCCCTTGATTTACCCTATGTGGTGTTGCATTGGTCTTTTATATAAAATTTACATATGTAGATGTCGAAACTTAACAAGAACCACAATATTTTGAGCTGTGTACTGTTGTACTACTGTTTTTTGCTCAGGTGGAAAGCGTTCAACTATGGGAATTGGAATCGCTTGTGAGCCGTCTAATCTAGAGATCTTTGACTCGCTGCGGTCATTCACATTGCTTTGTTTTCCCATGCCCCAACAAAATTGCCAGTGTGTGTGGCATCTGTTTGTTGTTTGTTGTTGTCACCAACAGCCACCCCAAATGGGATACACCCTGAGCGGGAGTTGGGCGGACAGCGCCTCCCCAGCGGATGACGCATCATTACAAATGCTTCACAGCACTTGCCTCAGATGTCATCGCCTGGGAGGCGACCTCTTTTTCGCATTAGCGAGTCATAAATAGATGGAAAACGCCGCAAAGATACGGCAAAACACTTATAAATATGGATGGGTATGACTTCCAAGTAATATTAGGAAGCTATTTGCATCTTGGATGCTAATATATTTACATACATTATAGGAGCTGCAATCTAATAACTTGATAACTTGCTCTAATTGTCTAGTCAATAAACTAGAAAATGATTGATTTGCTCTCTAGTCTGATTATTGGCTCTTATCATCACCAAGACAGACTTTATAATTCAAACTGTAGCCAATGGCTGCAAAACGCACTTTTTGAGCCCACTGTGCAAATGCTTGACACAAAAACGGAGAAATGAACAATGCCAAAAACAACAACGAAAGTGAGACAGCCACAAAACGCGCAATTACAGTTAACGGCAAAGTTAAAAAGTTGAAGGCAGCGCACCCAGAAAAATAGATGGAAGTGCCGATGAGTTTCTATGTGTACAATAACGGTCGACAAGGTGGCAGAAGGGCAGAACAAATAGGCCTCGTTTTCACTCCACTTCACAAAGAGTTTCCAGTGGGGCGATGTCGAATGACGGGCGTCATTGTGCTTGTGCCGGGCGTCATATCCGCAAATGGCGTGACTGAATTTGTAGTCTAGGGCACTCGTATTTCCGACCGCATCTGATTCACTTTTCATTGTTATGCATTGCAGCCACTGAAACCACAACCAGCAACGCCAAAATGACATCCACCGAGCTGAAAATCGGCCTGACCACCAGTGCCCGTCCCTCCAGCCGAGTGCTGAAGCCCCCAGGCGGCGGACACACCAATATCTTCTCGGAGCCTGACGTGGCCGTTCCCGCCCCTCGTGCCAAGTACAACCAACAGAACTCCTCAAACCTCAACGCCTGCATGGGCTCAACGGATCCCAACAAGGTGGTGGAGAAAATTCGCGAAGAGGTCTCCACCCAGAAGGAGGAGGCCAAGTCCGCTCCACCCAGCCAGCCCAAGGAGCCGGCGAACAAGCCAGCGGCCACGAATGGAGAGGCTCGCGGTCGAGTTCCACCCGGCGGTTTTTCGTCGGGCGGATTCTGGTAGAGGGAGTGTGCCCGGGTGCAGAAGCAGCTGCCAAGCATTTAATGACTCACCATCACATCCTCAGACCGACATAAGAATCATAAACCTATAAATATAACTCGCTTATAACATACGTATACACCTATATTTAGAGGCGCATTACCTATATTAACCTGCTGATCAGCCGAAGAAGAAAGGAAACTGATTATATTTTGCAAAGCAGCACTCCAAGTCGTTCTTCCTTTCGTCGTTTCATTTTCATGTCCCACATTTGTTCTATTGTCTAAGTACAGGTTAACATGTCTAACGAAATTGTTGAAATTAAGTAACTCGTGATTCCGCCCCACAAATATGGATGGTATGGATGACTATGCTAAAATCGATCACCTACTAAGCCTAATTTAGCATTTGTACTTAAAGTGTCCAATCGAAACTTCTTATAGTCTGTACAATTTGTCTAAACGAATACCATTATAACCATCGATGTATTACTCCAAATAAAACATTTAATTATAAATTATGGCTCTTTTATTTTTGCAAGTTGGTGGAGATTCTTCAGAGTCCGCCTAGTAGCTAAACAATACTCCTAGCCTTTTGACTCAGTAAAGACAATTCGATTTGGTCACGGAATTAACTCTAGTATTTATTACACTTCAGTTTAGAATTACAAGTGTCCATTAATTCATCGTCGAACTTGGTAAAGCGTATTTCTATATATAATAAATACAGCATCAAATGTATTTCAGTTAGTCGACTTATCCCAACATCCGCCGCGTTGACAAAATTAACAATTAGGCGATACATGCGCGAGTGGGATGTAGGTTTTCATGTCTGATGTTCTCAAAGTGAACAATATTTAGATCTGCTCCTGGGCGCGGCGTTGTCGATCCGGTTGCATTTATATACCATGCGGGGGTGTCCATATGGTAGACTTAAAACTAGGGATTGTTTCTCTTGTGTTCTTGTAAGACTAATTCAGACTATTGACTATTTAGATCTTCATGTCGTTGATGTACGAGTCCAGTTCGGCGTCCAGCTCCTCGGCAGTGGGTGGGGCCTTGCGCTCCCGTCGCTGGCCGCCTGCCGCCGGCTTGCCACCGACCGGACGTTTGAAGCCACGACGCGGCGAGCCACCAGCTTGGCCACCTAAAAAACAGTTCGGAATGGAAGTGTAAGGATTGGAGCAGGGGAATACCGTCAGGGACCGTAAACATAGTCATTATTGGTTTCAATGCAGAAACAGTTGCTTGAAGCTAAGCTTTCAGATGTGGAACTGGACTCCTAAAGTAAAATATTTTACCAAACTAATACCGTACTGAATCGAAGCAAAATATTGAATAATTACAGAAACAGTTGCAAAGACAACACAACAAAAATCTCGTATCAAGATGGCGATTACTCGCTAAAGAAAAGAGAGAATTTCGTTCATTCATATTAAAAAAACATATGATATCAAATCAAGTAACAAAAATGTAAACCTAAGAAATATGATACTATCGAAACAAATAGGCATTTAAAAATCTTTGTGGGAGTGCATAGATCCAAAATTGATCTGAAATGGTTTTAAATGAACGATGTTTGAGGTAAAAATAAACGAGTATGGGCATTATTCACGGTCCCTGCTGGAATATTTGGATACGCACCACCACGCTTGAATGGAGCTGATGCAGCACCACCCACGCGACGCTTGACATCGGTGGCGGTTACAGGTCGGGTCAACACGGCCACGTCTGAGACGGCCAGCTGAATAGTCATAGGGCGTCCGTCCAAAGGCACGCCATGGTACTGCTTAATGGCCTTCAAGGCGTCTGCGCGCCGCTCAAAAATCACGTCAGCGGTGCCTGCAAAAGAAAGGGAATGAATAAAATACATTGCCATGGTTTTAATAGTAAGGTTATGCTTTGGTCAACTCCAAAAGAATTCAAATTAGCTTGGTATCACAGTAAAATTTATCTTGCGATCTAAATTTACAATTTAAATTTAAAAGTTTCAGCATATATCAATTTACTAAGACGTTATCCTGACAAGTAAAAAGCGCTGCTTCTTCGGATGATCTGATCTGCTTTCAATTGAAACTGATTTCAATTATTTGGGATGTCCGTTCCTGAACCTTAATGCCGCCATTTTATGAACAGCCTCTACCGAAGTTGTTCACATAGCGTCACTTCTAGCAGAAGTACTGAAACTTACCCAACGAGCGACCAGAGCGATCGTAGTGCACTGCCGCCTTCTTCATCGGCCCAAAGTCGTTGAAGAGCTCCTTGATGTCCGTGTTGGATACGCCGTAGTCCAGGTTGCCGACGATGAGGCGGGTGGGCCCGGATCCTCCACCGACGGCTCCCCTCTTCGGTCCGTCGTACATATCGTGCTTCCAAGCGCTGTTCACATCGCCCTAGAGGTGGGGGTAGTATTAGGTAGAAGGTAGATGGGTATGTCTTCGAACGCTGGGCGTATCAACTATATGTATGTGGCGGGAGTAGCCGTTGCAGTAGCAGTTGCATCGTATCCTAGCCCCAAGAGGAATGCCATATTGAGCGGAGACACTAGAAATGCTTATTAACTGGGTAGGGTTCACGTGGAAAGCGTGAAGCGTGAGGGAAAATAAGTTAAGACACAGGTGTCGTCTGTTTGGTATTCTGTAAAAACGGAGTTAAAGGAACTTGAACTTGAGGCTCTGCTCGTGCTCGAAGAGTTGTTCCGTCCATTGGAAGGCGCATGGTGGCCATTTTGATTTTGGATCTGAGTCTGCTTCGCTTCCAAGCACTGTTGTGCGGGTCATGGGCCGCAAGACACTTGCTTGAGTACTCTGTCCTGCTGAACTGAGCACGGGAATGGTCTGCTCCGGCTGCTCCGTTTGGCCATTGAAACGCAATGAATTACCCGTGGGAACTTGGCCTTCTGAACGGCTCCACCGGCCACTCCTCCTCGCGGGCCCTTAAGCGCGCTTCCTGGCTTCCTGGGCGACCCGCCGGCACTGGCGCCGCCACGGCGTGCACCACCAGCAGTACGCTGCTGGCCGCCCGGCTTTCGGGCGCCACCTGGTCCGCCTCGGGCGGCTTGCGGCTTTTTTTGCGAGCGAGTGGACTTGATGATGTCGTCGAGGCTCATTTCAATTTTGTCCACCATTTTGCTTTTTTGTGCTGTTCTGACTACTTGGAGATCTTTTGAAGTGGAGGAAAAGGTTTGCTCTCTGCTTGCTACCGAAGGACGTATTAAAAATGTTTTTTCTTTGAGGCACGCGTGGAATTTCACAAAACTCTGCAAAAACGACGCACGAAGATCTACACAATCGCCATCTTGCTTCTGGGGAAAAAAGTGTTGAGTAACGGTGAGCGTCAAAATAGCGACGAGCAGCTAGCATCCAAAATGGAACGGCGAGATAGGGTAAATATGCAAAAATATTTTTGTAATATGTATGATATATTTACGAAATGAGGAATGCCAACTTTTGAAAATGTTTTGGATCGTTTTTAAATATATTA